CGAGCAGCTCTGTGAGGAGATGGACGCAGAGCGCGCATGTCTTCTCTTAAACACACAAGTGAGATGGCTGTTTAAAAGTAGATCACTGGCCACAGTTTTTGAGTTACGAGAGCCACTCCAGAGATTTCTTTGAGAAAAACAGTCACCACTGGCAGCACATTTCAGTGATACAGATTAGGTTGTAAAACTTGCTTACTTATGTGACATATTCAACCTGTCAACGAATTCTTTTACTTAAGGGGAGAACAAATTTGTTAATTTGGCAGATAAAGTGGCTGCCTTCAAAGCCAAACTGGAATTATGGGGGTTACAAGTGAACATTGGGATTTTTGACATGTTTCAAACATTAGCAGAGATTTTGAAAGAGACTGAGCCAGGGCCTTCTTTCTCCCAACTGGTGCATGATCACCTATCTCAGCTTTCAAAAGAGTTTGAGCATTACTTCCCAAACACAAAAGACTCCTGAATTGGGAAGGAATGGATCCACGACCCATTTGTGAATAAGCCAGGTAAATCAACTTTTTCTGTGCTAGAAGAGGATCAGCTGCTTGAGATCGCAAATGATGGTGGCCTTAAAAGTATGTTAGACAACTTCAAATCTCCGTACGTTCTGGATTAAAGTCAAGGTGGAATATCCCGAGATTGCCACAGAAGCACTGAAAAGCCTGCTTCCATTTCCAGCGCCCTGTCTTTGTGAAGCACGGTTTTCTGCAGTGACAGCAACCAAAACAAGATTACTGAGTAGACTGGACATAAGCAACACACTTCAGCTGTCACTGTCTCCCATCACCGCCAGGTGGGACTATCTAATTACAGGAAAACAAGCTCAGGGCTTCCACTGATTCTGCATTATGGTGAGTTGTATAATTATTTCATTATATATTATAATGTAATAATAAAAGAAATACGGGTACAATAAATATAATATACTTGAATCATCCTGAAACTATCCTCACCTTTACCCCCACTACCACCCCCATCCTTGGAAAAATTGTCTTCCGTGAAACCAGTCCCTGGTGCCAAAAATATTGAGGACCACTGCTTTAGCATCTCTCAAACTGCTAATCCCTATACTGGTTATGTCAGAGGAGAGGTTCCCAAACCCCATGAACCATTTTTTCATTCTATCCGTAATTATTTATCTCAAAAGTACAGGCTATATTGCCGACCTTAGCTAGCTATGTATTTGATAGGTTCTTATTCTGTTACTATTCATAACCTGCTTTTCCCCCTTTTGGTTGGGAATAGAGATGATTTAAATTTAAGGGGGAAATTTATGGGAGATGTTAATCTTTTGTTTTTGAAAGCTATATGATTAAATCAGAAGCTAAAAATCAAGCATGTAAAGCTCTAATATAAGAAAAACATTGTGGGGAAAAGGGAAGACCTTCCTAGCCTTACCAGAGCATTAATTCTCCTTGAGAAGACAAGACATAAATGAAAAGAAATAGAAAAACACAGGGTTTAGGGTAGCCTATGACAATTTTTACTTGCATAAGCAATACTTTGCATGTGAGAGAAAGCAAAGGAGACAGACAATTGGCTTTTTTTTTTAATTTTTATTTTTTATTTTTTTTAAAGAGTGTAGTTAACTGGGACCTCTGAGGGTGAAAGAACTGGAAATTAAAGCTTGGTGAGAGCAGGCAGCATGTCTGTTCACCATTTCCTATTCAGTGCCTGCCACTGTCCCTGGCAGATGGTAGGCTCTCAGTTAATAATATGTTGAATAAGTGAATATGTATTTGTCGAGTAAATTTAAGAATACATTGAAGGAGAGAGATACTTTATTTGGACAGGTAAGATGCAACGGCTTGAGAAAATATTAGGAGGTAGAAATGATCATGGAACACAGCAGAAGACGAGCTTGATCAGAGCTGTGGGAATAAGCAGGAAGGTTCTGGGAAATAAGCCAGATAACAGTGTATTGGGGTCAAATTATAAGCAGCTTTGCTGGATTTAGGAATTTGGGGTTTGTTCTTTAAGCAGTGTGGATTTTGAAGAGGTAGTGGCATTGTCAAAGCAGTGTTTTAGCAAGTCTAAAGATACAGTGCAAGATTACAGTGAGAAAGAGACTGGAGACTAGCTTTGAGACCAGTTGTGATGTTGGATAGAAATTCTATTGAAAGTAATCAAGTTTCATACAAAAAATAAATTTTCTTTATGTGTAATATATTATGCAAAGAAGGTGCTTTTTAAGCTCTAGTGATTGAACATAATGACATGGCTGTCTTTTTCTGTATTTAGTTTTCCACGGCATTTTGTTATTGATCTTTATGGCTTTTCGGTGATATCATAGTATAAATTTTGAATATATTTGTTCTTCCCTTATTTGCCTTTTGTTAATGTCAAGCATAGCACATGAGATATTCCCTGTTGCTATGCAACTGCTAAATTCAATATTTAGTATTAATAAAACTGAGTGTTATTAACATCCAGTGATTGGAGAGCAGCAAAATATGGCTTTACAGTGTCCAATCAATATTTGTAAGGTTTAATGTATTGTTGCAAGTATGAGTAAAAGAGGAGTGAGTTGTTTACAGTTATAATTTTGAGCAAAATGAATTGTGTTTGAATTTTTGAACATATGAACAAATTTTTTTTGTTTGCTTCCTTTTGATCTTTTTCGCTGCTTTTTGATGTAGGATTCAGTTTTTGTGCTGTTGTGTATTCAGTGTCTGTGTTATTGATGAAGTTCTTAATTTTCTTATTTCAGATTCCATTTTTTATAATTTATAAATTTTTATTTCCCCATACTTTTATTTGCTTTTTTTTCTTTTTTAGTCTTATTTCTTGCTGTATTTACAGTCTTCCTTTTCAAGAATTTATGCTTAGCATGAAAGTTTGAAATTTGTTATAATTTCATATAAACCCAGATGAAAGAATATTAGATTTGCTCTTCAGAATAAGAGCTACCTGTAATCTCCTTTATTTGTAGTGTGCGCATTTGGTACTTTCAGCATATTAAAATACTTTAATATTTGTGAAATCAGAAATTTGTGAAATCAGAATTCCTTTTGTGGGGGGAATAGGAGGGTTTATGAGTTGGAAGATACGCTGTGGGATGTATTTAAAAAAAAAAAAAGTTAGCTGGTTCTGAGAATATCTGGCCTCCAGGGCTAAGATAGACATTATCTAGCAATTCCTCCTCATTCTCTTGCCACCAACTCCCTAGCCCTGCAAACCCAATCCCCAACCCTTTCGCCTCCCTAGTGTGAGGAATAGAGGGGGCTGTAGTAATTTAGTGGAAAATGTTTTAATTTTACTAGAAAGTAATAAACAGACATAGATACCTCCATTTGTGTAAGTGGTAGTTTAATTTTGCTAATGTGCTTAGAATAATATTGATGGGAAAAAGTAAGGAGAGTTGAAAAACAATTGCTCCTAATAATAAATGAAAAATATAGACTCTTGGAAAAATCACAGTGTAGAAAAATTTGTATGTGTGTAGAAAAATGTATAGTATAGAAAAATCAACTGTAATTACAATGTAAGTAACACAAGCCCTAGAGAGCTTGAAAAATCAACTGTAATTACAATGTAAGTAACACAAGCCCTAGAGAGCTTGAAAAATCAACTGTAATTACAATGTAAGTAACACAAGCCCTACTTTATTGAAAACAATGGCTTAATACTAGGGGCAAAGAATCCCTTATATTACAATCTTATTCTTGGGGACAGATAAAGAAACACTGTTTCTAGGACTATCTTGTCTACCGCCTTACCTTCCAAATCCTTTCTTGCTATTGTGTTTGTGGTAAAGAAATACTATGTATGTATGTCCCTCAAGTATCCAGCAGGCTATAGTATTTTAAATTAGTGATTCTCTATCTTTTAAGCATGGGAGTGCTTTTTAACAATTAAAAAAATTTATAAGCCCCCAGGTGATAGGTTATGTGACAAAATACATAGTGCCCCAAACTACTAGGAATTCAGTAACACTTTCTGTATTTTCTTAATTATGGTAGCATCCCTATACATTTGAAAGGTAGTATATATACCAAATACACAAGACATATTAATTCTTTTTGAAGGTTACACTTAGCATGCATATGGATTCACAGACCCCTTGTAATAACTATTTGAATTCTCAGGTCTGTGACACATGTTTTGGGAACCACTGCTCTCATTCATTATTTTTGACATGTTGTATAAAGGTACAGTCTGATTCCTGTCCTCTTTTTCCCTTTTATTCTTAACCCATTAAAAAAACAGCGAGATGTTACAAATATTTTTAAATCGTTTATCATTAAGTAGATCAGCAATATTTGAGATAATAAGTGAGAAAAATTGGTTTTGGTTTTCGTTTTCTATTTCATTCACACTGATAGAAGGACATAATAGTTTTAAACATTTGTGTACAAGTATGTATTTGAATTTTTTCTCATGTTTTTTGGATGTATAATTAGTGGATTTTATATTTATAAGGGAACCAAGAAGTAATTATTATGGCAATGTGAAATAGTTACAAAGGTCTTTTTTCTTTTGAAATATTACGCTGTGGCTTTTGTGTATGTGTGTGAACTAGAAGTTGTTCTCAGTGAGGATTATCTTTAAGAAACTGTTAATTTGAAAAATCTTGATCTCAATTGGTATTCAGAAAAATGTTATTTAGATTATTCTAGAAAGTTGTGGAAATTTTCAAGCAATTTGACTCTTTCAGTGGGAAAGATACCTTTTAAAATGGAGCTTGAGTGTATGTAAAGAGGTATTTGGGATCTTGTAAAAGAGAACCCATGAATTTCCATTCCTTCTTTGGCTATTTCTAGCATCTGTTTTGTCTTGTTCTTGAATGTGCTCTGAATTTGTGTTGGATGTTAATCATTGACAAAAATGCAGATGTTTCTTTTAGATTTGTCATCAACACTTTTTTCTCAGCATCCCTTCAATAGTAATCTGGATCCTTGAGAACCGGAAGGAAACACCATCATTTTTTCATGCAACAGAGTAATATTACTATAGTGAATGTTATTGTGATAATGGATTTTTTTTTATCCTTTCAGGGTTTGAAAGTATTCTTGAAGGGCTGTTTGGACCTGCATTATTAAAAGATCTCAGTTTATTTAAAGGTATTCGAAATATTTTTGGTATTTCAAATTCTTCCTGATGACATACATGATACCTTGGTGATTTAATCCTCAGTCTCCTCTTTTTTATTCATGATAGCGTGTGGGTTAAAGCTATATCCAAACATCTTTTTGTGTTTAGTTGGTATTGTTAATATATATATGACTAACATTAACTAGTGAATGGTTAAGAATTAACATAAGAATTTTAAGAGTTAAGAGTTTTAAGACAAATATGGAATCTGTCTACTTAAGGTTTTTGTTAAAGTAAATAATATTTTTAAAATTAATTCTAATTTGTTTTCTGAAAAATTCTCTTTTATGACTATTAATTTGTAACTATTAATTTGCAGCCCATGAACCTGAAAGCATTTCCGATTGGACTTTTGATGAAAATTGTCTGTTCTGTTGCTTGAGAAGAGATAAAGTAAAGGTAACCAAGAAGCTTATGAAACTTTGGTGTGATATTTTAAAGTTTTCATTTTTTACAAAATGTTATTACTGTTGGAGGTTTTGTAGGAAAATGAAGATATGAGTACGTATTTATTTATAAAAGGGTTTGATAGTAACTTTGGGTTTTGCAATTTAAACTAATTCCAGTCTGTTGATTAGCCTATTGAGAAATCCGTATCCCAGCATGCATTGCTTTATTTATATATTCACTAGTCAGAATAATTAACAAGGTCTCAAACTGTCGTATTTATTTTAAATATGAAGTGTATGGTAATTCAAGTAATGAGAGTCATTTGTGGTACAGAAAGAACAGTAACATAGATTTAGATCAGGCAGTTACTAACTCAGGTAGATTTATGATGTACTGTGGTTTATGCTTTAATATAAGATATTTCTTCATAATATCTAGAAGTTAATAACAGGAAGTTGCTCTGGGGGAGTCAGTGAATGAGTGGTGAGTTAATATGAAGGCCTAGAACATTACTGTGCACTACTGTAGTCTTTATAAACACTACACTTAGGCTACACCGGATTTATAAAAAAGTAAAGTAATTGTGCTGTAATGTTATTATGACTACAGTGTCACCAGGTGATAGGAATTCTTTAGCTCCATTATAATTGTGTGTATTAGCATGTTGTGGCTGTTTATTGGGCAAGTCATTTAATAGAAATTTTAATAGAATAGAAAAAGGAACAATTACTAATTTTTTGGGGGGTTAGGATTAGGAGGAGAGCCATTCTATGCTTAGTAATGGAATACAATAGAGTCTTGTAATATGATTGAGAGTTTTCTATTGCTATATGAGGGTAAAATATGAGTATTTTTAAAAGAAAATACAGAAATAGGAAGTCTAAAATAATGTAGCATTTAAACAGCTTTTTTACTGTTTATAGTTCTGCAGTATTTAGTTGAATTTTAAATAGAATATTTCCCTTTGACAACTCAGTTCTGGGAAAGCTGTTTTTCTCTATTAGACACTATACTACCTGTCTGTGGCACTTAATATTTTTGCCGACAGTCATACATCTATAATGGGAAACAGGAAAGGGAGAGAGCCTAGATAATGTGAATTGTCAAATATGTGGTATTCCTTTAGTTGTGTTAGATTTAAAGTGGTTATACTGGCACTCTTTGCAGCCACTTCGAACATCTCATCTGAGGACTAGAATCTGGGAATTAAGTATATTCACTGGATTGAGGCTTATACTTTAAGGCTGGCTTAACATTCCAAAAAGAAGGAAATATTAATAGCTGGGGAGTATGGTACTAGCCAGTAGGTGGTAGCATAGAGCATGATTTTGGAATCTTACCTTGAGTTTGAGGCTGACATGGAGAAATAATCTAGTTAGTGTTTAGAAAAACAAATATTGGTCTGATGTTTGGGAAGGAGATGGGAGTTATGCATATTTTTTAGATAATTGAATTTTCACTGAATACTGAAGCTGTGAGAATGCATAAAATAAATACATTATTTATACTTTTTTAAATATGTAGGGGAAAAATATGAAGTACCCTCTTGGGAACTAGAACAGGGATTCATCTAGAAATTGGTAAAAAAATTTCTGAGCTATACTTCAGGATCCTACAGAGGTAGAGAATATAATTTCTAGGGGAAAGGAAACTAACATTTTCTGAGCATTTACTGTGCCAATTACTTTTATGTGATCCCACTTAATCTTCAAAACAACTCTATAAAAGTTGGTTAAAGGCATCCCAGTTTTATAAATAAAGAAATGGCAAGGGTCAGAGAGATTAAGTTATGGGCAAAGTCACATAGCTGGGATTTGATCCTGGTTTTTAGAATACATGCATTTGGTAACAATACTAGGGACAGGAACGTGAAAAGCAGAGAGCATGTACTAAGTAGGACTTGGAATGACTCAGTTGTGAAGAGGGAGAGAGTAAAAGGGTACATGGGCTGACACGTATTTGAAATGACCAACCCTAGCTGTGTCAGGAATCTGTTAGGGAGGAGTGACCGACTGCCTCCCTTGCTTGCTTGCTTGCTTGCTTTCTTGCTTGCTGTCCTCTTTCTTTCCTTCCCTTTTTGTTTACTGGGCATAATGTAGGCACTCTGAAATATTTATTAAATGAGTGACTAAGAAGTCAGGAAGCTTAATAGAGTCTGGTTATAGTATATTAAATTATAGCATTAATAGCTAATTGTTGTGAATGTTTATAGGTGCCACGCATGTATACACAGTTCTCTGTGTATTACCTACTCATGAGGCTTTTTAAATTTTTTTAAGTTTATTTTAAAACCAATTTTAGGCTTACAAAACAGTTGCAAAAATCATAAAAGGGATTTCTGTGTATCCTTTAGCCAGATTCCCCAGATGTTAACATCTTTTTAACCACAGTACAAATACAAAAATCAGGAAATTAACATTGATACAATACTATTATCTAATCTGCAGACCTTTCAAAGTATACCAGTTAACCCAGTAATGTTCTTTTTTGTGGGGAGGGAAGACGGGGACAGAGTCTCACTCTACTGCCCCAACTAGACCAGTGGCGCCATTTTAGCTCATTGCACCCTCAAACTCATGGGCTGAAGTGATCTTTCGGCCTCAGCCTCCCGAGTAGCTGGGACTACAGGCATATACACCACCATGCTGGCTAATTTTTTCTGTTTTTAGTAGAGATGGAGTCTTGCTATTGCTCAGGCTGGTGTCAAACTCCTGCCCTCAAGCAATCCTCCCACCTTGGTGTCCCAGAATGCTAGAATTACAGTCATGAACCACCCAGATAGGCTGTAGTAATGTCCTTTTTCTGATCCAAGATCCAGTCCAGGATCACACTTTGTATTTATTAACAGTTGTCATGTGTCCTTTAGTCTGGAACAGTTCTAAGAATTTTTTTGCCTTTCATAATACTAATACTTTGAAGAATACTGATTGATAAGTTAATTTGTAGAATTTTCTTCAGTCTAGGTTTGTTTGATAATTCCTCATGATTGAATTCAAGTTATACGTTTTTGGCAGAAATTCCACAGCACTGATGTCGTGTCATCCTTACTGCACCTTATCAGGAAGTACTTGGTGATGTTTACTTTGATCACTTGGTGACTACCGCTTTATTATAAGGTTGTTTTTTTTTTTGTACTTAATAGATATTTTGTGGGGGAGGTACTTTGAGATTTTTGTAAATATCTTCTTTTTCTCACTATACTAGTTGCTCATCATTCACCAATTTTAGCATCTATTGATGAATATTGTCTGAAAAAATTATTTATTGTGGTGTTGACCAAATGGTGATTTTTTAATTTCCATTATTTCTTCTACCTTTATTAGTTGGAATTCTATAAGGAAGAACTTTTCTTTCTCATTTATTTATTTATTTTTTTTCTTTTTTTACCTATCAGTATGAACTCATGGTTTCTTATTTTATCCTATGGATTATAATTCATTATAGTCATTGTTTATTTTGTAGTTCAATTATCCTAGGCCGTTGAGAGGCCTTTCAAGTTGGCTTATGTTTTCTTTTTGATATGTTTCTATCTTTTCTTTTTTGCACTCTGTTAACTTTTTGGCACCAAAAGACATTCTAGTCTTATGCTTTCCCTGTCCCAGCCTTCGTTTTCTCCAAGAAAGACCTAGTTGCTTTTATTTACAGAATTATATAAGAACACAAGGTCTGGATACTAGGTAATCTCGTTTAGTATTAGGGTGTCATTGGCTCTAGGCCCCCTCAGTTGTCTGAGCTAGGAAATATGTATGTTTACTGAAATACACATCTATATTATTTTCTATTTCTATTTAAAACCATCTCGTGAAACTTTTGTTGTTAGTAGTATGAAGAGTTAATCCAGTAGTAGTGAGAAGGTGCTGGAGACATGGGAAGGATAAGAAATTAATTTTATTGTTTAATAGCAATGGTTCTATTCTTGCATATGGCTGAGATAGTAGAGGTAACTGTTGTAGAGTACAGATAGCATGATGATTCTCTAAGGATGATGGGAGAGTAGGATGTTATTCCAAAATATAAAATTAGTTCATGCACTTTAATATTTGACTAGCATATTAGGAGAATGTTTTAAGTGTTTTAAGAAGTTAGGGCTTGAACTTAACTTTTGAAGAATCCGTAAGTCTGGATAAGCAGAGATAAGAGGGTCACATACTGGGTGGAACAGGGCATTTGTTTTGGGAAATAACTAGTGATAGGGTTGGAGCCAGATACCTTTCAGTGACCAGCTTACTGAGGAATCTTATAACTAGATCCTTTTCATTTTTATTATTACTCCATCATGTGTTTTAGTTGAACATTGCATAATTTCTTCTGATTCATGAGGGTGCGTTAATTAAAATTTTAGGTATATCCTTTTTTAACATTTTAATTTTCATTGTTCTTTTAGTACATCAAAAATTTATATTAAGAGCTAGTTATTTTCTCATTGTATTCTACAACATGTGTTTATGTTGACTATGTTAGTTTGGGCATATTAAACTCTGCTTGATGTGACTTGCCTGTCATCTTGTACCATAATATGCCAAATCAGTATGTATTTGCACTGCCTATTATGTAAAAGGAGCTATGGAAGAAAGATATTAATACATAGAAATAGTTCCTGTCTATTTGGATGAGAAAGAAGAAACAAATCTGAGACGTTTAACAAATATTTATATATGAGATTTAAATAGATACAAGGCAGAGTTAAACAGATATCACAAGTTAGTATATGATTAATTAGGTGCTCAGTTAATTGTACAAATATAAATTGCTGGACCTATCCTTGTTGTATTTCCAGAGAAGTTTTGTCAGATTATTTAGAAAGATTAAGGAAAACTCTCTGACACAGTCAATCAGTGCTCAGTCCAAGATACCATTCAGGATCAAAGAGGTTTTCTCCCCCTCCCAACTTGTAGATTTGTCTGCAGAACAGGCTGGGAGAAACCAATAATTGTTGATTCACTCTACTTTATTCGGTTGTATGTGGTCAGAGTTAGCCAATACACTAATCATTTGGCAAGTTTATTAAA